ATTCTATTCTATTCTATTCTATTCTATTCTATTCTATTCTATTCTATGTGGCTTGTGTCACTGAAATGCCTGGGACAGTCTTCATGAAAAGTCAGCGGGAGCCAAGTGGGAGAGAACAGTCCTGGGAAGGTTGAGTGAGTGGCTCCTACCAGAGGTGGCTGAGAGCTGGCTGGGGTCTGACACGAAACACATACCCTGTTCATACTTTACCGTACTGGGAGGCTCACTGCAGGGTCTCTGTGGTGCCACACACTTCTTATCTTTATTTCTGTGCTACCCAATGAGCACTGTGGAATGGGGCCTGGTGGCAGGGGCCTGTAATTCCGTCTCCCTGGGAGGCAGAGGAGATCGGAAGACCGACCTGGAGTACAGCATGTGTTCCTAGGACGGTCTGGGTAATTGAGTGAGACCGTGCCTCAAAGTGGTAGCAGAATAGTGGGAGAGTGCTTGCCTCGCATACACAAGGCCCCGGATTCAGTTCCCACTACTGTAGATGAAGAGGATGGAGGGGAAAAGGAGGAAGAAGGGAAGCTTGTGGAAGGAAGGAAGAGAGGGATAGAGCTTGCTCTCTTCCCGTGAAGTGTTCCCCTGGAGGCCCTGTAATCCCCACAGCTAAGGTGGCCCCTGACTCCTTCACACCAAACCCTTGGCCTTTTAGAAATCCCCGTTCTCCCATAGCGAGTCAACTGTTTACCTCGTCCATTTACCTCTTTGAGCACCCTAACTCCATGTGTTCCTTGCCATCTCCTTGGCTACTGATCAGCCACCTTCATGTCTCACCTGGCCTCAGTCTCTCTTACCATGTTTTCTTCTCTTGCTTGTAAACGGGTCCTCAGTGTCCAGTTTTTAGGAAGGAGTCCTTGCATGACCACACCCTTCCCACCAGCTAGCCCGCCTGCTCTGCCACCTTGATCCCAACGCCCTCTTTTCCTGATCTTTGCCCTGCTATTCCCTCTGGCCAAGGCTCAGCTTCCCAGTGCCCTAGTGTGAGCTCCAGCCTCTCGAGACTTTACAATAACTCTGCCCTTCCAACGGAGCAGTCCTGTAAGAACTGGGCATCCTTCTGGTACACCCTTGCAGAAGCAGTGAGAGCCAGGAAGGTGACATTGTGTCTCCCTGATCCCAGAGTGTGGCTGTCCACCTTCCCTGCTGGCTCTCATCGGCTTTCCTTTCCTTCCTCTCCTGAGTCTGAGAATACAGTAAGGGCCTAGTCATTTCCTAGTGAGGACAGGACTGAGGAAGGAGGTACCCTTGTCAGGCCACAGTTCAGGCAAGCTTCTGAAGTGGGGCTGTGGGGTCCTGATGTCTGGCCTGTACAGGGAACTCTTTGTCTGCCTGCCTTCCTGTGAGGCTTCCTAGCTGCCTCTTCTTGCCTCTAACTTTTTTGTCCTATGTCAGATTTTCTTGCTGCTCCCCAACTGTCCAGCCTTCTGCCATGGCCAGCCTTCGCCAGGGCTCTGCCTCTGCCTGGACACCCTTTCCTCAGATTTCACTGTGGCTTCCTCTGTCTCACCTCGGTATCAGGCCTCAGTAAGGCTCCCTGCACCTCCTTTAACAGCCTAAGCTCCTGCCTGCATTGCTAATACCCGCTCCTTTCTCTACCACCTAACAGGCAGGACAAATAACTCATTGCATTTTTATTGCCATTACCGGTTTCTGGCTGCCTATAGGAGGTGCTTGTAAAAGAGTGAAGGGAAGAAGGCAGTGCTCGGAGCCATTAAGGACGCCTAAGCTCCTCCTGAACCCTTGGTAGGGTCTGTCAGTCCTCTGGGACTCACCTTGTCTCACTTCTGTCCTGGGGCAGCTCTGTAGGCCAGGCCTGGCGTCTCTCCTACAAGCTCAATCTTTAGACTGTTGGCTCCACCCCTTTCTCCTCCCCAAGGGCTGGGATTTACAGGCCGAGTCAGAGTACAACTGAAGTCCTGCCCTTTCCTGCCAGCTTCCCAGGGCCTGGGCCGGTGGGGTGTGCAGCGTCAGGTGCTGGGCGGCCTTGGCGAGATTCAGGCTGCGGTCTCAGGGCTAGGGATCCCTTAGAGGTGCTAAGACCTAAAGCCATGTTTCCCGGGTGTTCCCAAAGGGAAATCCTGGACCCGTTCTAGCGACCCCTACTGTCCTGTCTGCAGGGACGTGAGTTAGTTACAGGAGCTGAGCAGGCGCCCAGGTGGTTCTTATGGGAAAAGACTGCTCTGTCAAGTGAATGGCTTTGCTCTAAATGTGGCCTTGTCTGTGTCCTGCTTACCGTTGGTGTACACATGTGGACACCTCCCCTGGCTCAGTATTTGAGGACTACTGCAGTATGTTATTTTGGGTACCTAGGAAAACAGGTCTCCACAAGTGAGATTGCCCTATACCTCCACCCTTTGCCCGGGGAGGTAGGGTGGAGTCTTCCTGCTCTGAGTGAAGAACTAGGTAATGCCGTGTGCCCGGGTTGTGCAATAAGTAAATTACCAGCCTGAAATTTGAACCAAATGTCAGGCGGCAAAGAAGAACTCTTGGCTCCATTTGTATATTATTGGGAAAGAAGGCACAAGAGCCAGGTCTCCTGGCGGGACTTCCGAAGCTTGATGATTCTGGCTAGGTGTCTTCCTATCTGGGGCATTGTCCATTCTCCCCCTCTGTGGTCATACATGTGCATGTGTGTATATGTGTGAGTGTGTTCATATGCATGTATACTCTCACACTAAGGGACTGTACAGCTCCCCAGTGTATCCCCAAGGTAGTGTCCAGTTTGTTCTACAGGAAGATGAAGTTCCCTGTGACCCAGGGTTCCCTAACCTGTCATGCGGGGACCGTGTGGCCTGGACCCCTGGCTGTTGGTGGTAGCTACACACGGGTGATGGTTTCAGGTTAGACAGTTTTGACCAGGCCTAGTGGGATGGTTCAACAGGCTGTTTTTCCAGAGGTCCTATGTTCAATTCCCAGCACCCAATTGCTCCCAATCACCTGTAACTTCAATCCTACAGTAACCAAAATCCTCTTTGAGATCCAGCACCCTTTCCTGGCCTCCATATGCACTATGTGCTCATGGTGTACAGATAGACATGCTGACAAAATGCCCATACACATAAGAATAAAATAATATAAAAGAACTGAGTGATATTCCTCCCTCTATATATTTATATTATTTACCAACCAACTGGGTATTCAGGTTGACAGGTTGATTCTGTATGTTAGCTGTTAAATATTGCTGCAATGAACACAGGAATGTTACTCTCTGTTGAACAAGCATGTTTGTTTTTATTTATTTATTTTGATAATAGATATTCTAAAAGATAAAATTGTACTTCATTATAGTTTTGATTTTCATTTTTCTGATGATCAGTAGTGTCAAGCATTTTTCAAATATTAACCATTTTTATGTGTCCTTTTAATGTTTTTCACTTTCTTTCCCCATTTGAAAATTAGCAATTTGGTTTTTTTTGCTACTGAACTACTTTTTTTATAGTTTATATAGTAACTGCTTATTAAATATTTGATTTGCAAATATGGTCTCTTATTCTGTTATTGTTCCTTCAGCTCTTCAGGAGCTTTTTGGCGTGATGTAATTCTATTTGCTTTTTTCCCCTTTTATTGGAAATAGATTTTTTTCATACAGTATCTTCTGGTTATAGTGGCCGCCCCCCCGGGGGTCCTCGGGCCTCTCCAACTCCCTTCCATTTGAATCCACACCCTTTCTGTCTCTCCTTAGAAAACAAGTAGGCACCAAAAGAATAATAACAGGATAAATTAGATAAATAAAAAATGCATATTGGAATATGACAAAACAATCAAATAAGAAAAAGATCCAAAGAAAAAGTATAAGAAACACATGTAGACATAGAGACACACATTCACACACACAGAAATCTCACATAAAACCCTCAAACCAGAAGCCATAATATATACCCAAAGGATCTGTAATTAGAAGTAAAAAAAAAAACCAAAAACACAAACAAAAACAAAGTAATGCTCTGACTTAGCAGTATGACAAAGAACCTCCAGAGATGCCTTTGAGTTATTTTTGTGTTGGTCATCCTACTGCTGGGTTAAGCCTACTGTTAAGAGTAGTTTGTTTCCCCAGTGAGACGCCCTTGGAGAAAACTAATTTTTCATTTGCAAGTGGTTATCAGCTGGAGATAGCTTCCGAGTTAGGGATGGGGCATGAGTCTGCTTCTCTCAGCTCTAGGACCCCGTCTGGTGCAGACCCGTGCAGGCCTCCACAGTGCCTATGACTTCATCGTGTGCCAGCCCTATTGTGTGGCTAGAAGGTGGTCATTCCTTGTCCTCCAGCCCCTCTGGTTCTCACACACTTTCTGTCTTCTCTTCAACAGCTTTCTCTGAGCCCTGAGAGGGCACATTTGAGACTCGCTTTTCAGGGATGAGTGTTCCAAGGTCTCTCACTCTCTGCGTAATGTCTGTATTTGTTGCTGTCTGCTGCAGGAGGAAGCTTCTCTGATAAAGACTGTCTTAGTTAGGATTTTTTTTCTTCCTTAAAAAAATTTACTTTTCATTTTACATACCAGCCCCAGCTTCTCCCTTTCCCTCCCCCTCATTAGCCCCTTCTCATTCCCCATCAACTCCTCAGAGTGGGTAAGGCTTTCCTTGGGGAGTCAACAAGGTCTGGCATTCCGACTTGAAATAGGACCAACATCCCCCCCCACCCCCGTTGCAAGGCTAAGTAAGATATCCCACCATAGGGAATGGAATCCAAAAGGCTAGTTCATGCACCTAGGATAGGTCCTGGTGCCACTGTCAGGCCCCACTCCCCCAACAGATCAGTCCACATAACTGTTATCCACATTCAGAGGGTCTAGTTCTGTCCCATGCAGGTTCTCCAGCTGTCAGTTCATTGTTCGTGAGCTCACATTAGCTGGGGTCAGCTGTCTCTGTGGTTTCCCCACCATTTTCTTGACCCCTTTTGTTAATATTATTTCTCCTCCCTCTTTTCAACTGGACTGACTCCAGGAGCTCATTCCAGTGCTTGGCTGTGGGTCACTGCATCTGCCTCCATCAGTTACGGGATGTAAGTTCTATGATGACGGTTAGGGTAGTCACTAATCTAAGTTAGGATTTCTATTGCTGCGATGAAACACCATGACCAAAAAGCAAGCTGGGGAGGAAAGGGTTTATTGAGCTTATGCTTCCACATTGCTGTTCATCACCGGAGGAAGTCAGGGCAGGAACTCAGACAGGACAGAAACCTGGATGCAGGAGGTGATGCAGAGGCCATGGAGGAGCATCACTTACTGGCTTGCTCCCCATGACTTGTTCATTGCTCAGCCTGCTTTCCTGTAGAACCGAGGACCCCCAGCCCAGGTATGACACCACTCACAATGGGCGGGGCCCTCCCGCCCCTCCCACATCAATCACTAATTAAGAAAATGCCCTACAGGTTTGTGTACAGCTTGATCTTACGGAAGGTGTGTCATTGCCCCCATAGCCTCCCACAAGCTTTGTGCTTCTATTGCACCAGCATATTTCATTGGCAGATCACTCTTGTAGATTTAAGGATTGGTAGCTGGGTTGGTGTTTATCTTTCTCCTTTGTTAGAACGCAAAGTGCCTTCTAGTACCTTGAATACTAGACGATAGGGGTGAGGGTATTTGTTCACTTCTCTTAACGTAGGACCCCATCTGGTACAGATCTGTGCAGGCTCTAGGTAGGCACTAGATCAGTTCTAGTTTCTCCATGGATCAGTTTCTCCATGTTCAGTGAGTCGTGTAGGTGCTTTCTTTAGCAATAGGACCTTACTGTCAATTTGTGGAGAGCTTTGGAAATAGTCTGGTTTGCTTTTAGATTTCCATGGGACCCCTTTGGCCAACAATTTGATTGGATATAACCCATTCCTGGTACTAGAAGTTTCATTTGGTGGTGAGAGATGTCTAGTCGGAGCTGTCTCCCCCATTATTTGTCAATTTCATTTAGACTACCTTCATACATGTATATTACAGGAAGCTTGTACTATGTTAGATTTCCATACAAACCTTCAAATAGCCCTTAGTTTTAACGGCTCCTTCCTGTAACCCCTCCCTGGCTTCCCTTCCCTCCCTCTCTCTATTTGATCCTTCCATTTCAGCCTTCCCCACCCCATCCAACCATAACTATCTGTTCTGGTTCCCTTTCCTAGAGAGATCAGAGAGCTCATCCCTCTCCACTACTTCTTTACTCTCGACCTAACCTCTGTGGTCCTACGGAGTGTAGTTTGCTTATCAGTGACCTAACAACTAACATCCACATATATAAGTGGATATATACTGTGTTTGTCTTTCTGGGTCTGAGTGACGGGTCCAGGAACAGGAACATAAAAATACAAACTAAAAAGAAATGGCAACAGACCATCCACATCTTTGTCAGCAGCAAGGGGTTAACTTTTAACCATGGTTTTTAAAAACCTTACGGCTAACGCCTCTGTCAATAGCCAGGGGTTAACTTTTAACATAACCCCCCCGCCCCCCGTCACTTATAACTGACAACTGCTGTTGACCAAAGTTAACTTTTAATAAAGGTTTGTGCGAGACCCCATCCCATAAATTTTAGCCAAATATTCCTATGTGACTTTCGACTTCACTTTTTTTTTTTTTTTTGTATCCTTCCTTGCTATAGGAAACCAGTTGTGCCAGAAAACTTGTGAAATTCTTTATAAATACTACTGGCTGTGAAGAAAATCTGCAGGTCTCTGTAGACACCATTTCAACTGAAACCTTTTTAACAAAAATTGTAAGTCTTAAAATGCAAAATGTCTCTAAACTTTACCTCGAAATCGTAAAAATTCGTTTGTCCATGTTTAACGTTTACTTCTTGCTGTAAAAAGGGGGTCAGAGCCCAGTCCCATCACCACAGTTTCAAAGCCTGAACTCTGGCTGTGGTCTCCGCTAACTGATAAGCTTTTTGTGCCCTGCAG